TTTTGGTGAGAAAGAAGCATAGAATTGAGTTCCAAAGGTGTTCGTTGGAAAGAGCGCGTCAAGATCTACCTGGAAACTCAATGGCTTAGTTGGAAAGCACTCGTGGGCGAATCGCGACATGTTTTTCCAGAATTTATTGCATGTTATACGTTTTATACGTTCTTTTGATGGTATTTTTTGATTTTCTTGGTTTGAGGGGGTGGGCGAGAAAGAAATGAATGGTGTCGTTGGATAGAGCTTGTCGAGTTCTACTTGGAAAGTTGTTTGGCTGCTTTGGAAAGTGTTCTGGAGCGAATCTTTTCAGGAAATACTCGAATCCTGACCTAAGATATCCTACGTCATCATTAATTAAAATATATCTTTTATGAAGTTTTCTTACTTTGTTCTTAAATGATTAAGACTAAACTATTTTGTTATGATTAGAAAAATAATAATATTGCTCTTAATTAAAACAGTTTTTATTATTGATGAATATAATTCGACTGCAATCAAGTAAGAAATAAAAATATTTCAAAGATGTTAATTGTAACACAGAATTATCTAAAAAATTGAATTTATTACACTAAAAAAATGATAAAAAAAAGAAAAATAGATTTTAATAATAGATTTAATTTAATAAAAATGATTTCATGTAATGCTGTTTTATTCATTAGATAATTGTTTGTTTCTTTTTTTTTCTATTCTATTTTATGTATATTTGCCTCTACGTTTCATTCGACTATTATTTATCATAAGAGAATAAATAAAAAGAGGACACTTGAAGGTGTGGGTGTAGGTGTGAGTAGGTGATGAAGAGAAGGCCCACACCCCACACCCACATCCACACCCTTTTCGAGACTTCACATCACTATACATATACACAAATGTCTTTCTTATTGAGGGTGCCACGAAAATCTTTATCACATACACATCAGCTCATATCTCTCTGCTGAGGGTGCTTGAAAATGGTGATTCTACACGAAGAGCACATTCCGCATCGGATAAATGGCAAGTCAGAAATTGGATCATTTTCATCCGAATTCGGTCAATTTCATTTAGTAAGGGACGTGTTTTCCATGTGAAATCACGATTTCTGAGCACCCTCAGCGAGAGAGATGCGTTGTGTTTGTCAGTTTCCGAATGTATCTGCCTGTTTGCACCTATTCTAAGTTTTTGATCCAGTACATGATAGCTCAAGCATACCTATTTTATGTTGATTTGGACTATATTCTTTCGAGAGTACAATTTGTATTTGTATTTACGCATCTCTGTGCTGATTCTAAGAAAACTTGTTCAACATGGAATAAACCACTTTATTACTTTGTAAAATTATCTACTTATCATTGATTTACTTAGTTTGTTGAAGAAAATGTTTTTTATTCATTCAGCTCAAGCATATCTTGCTTTGCATGACCTTTATTCTTCGTCACTCTATGATCTTGAGGTTGCAGATGTCTAATCCTTATCAAACATTATCTATGAGTTCTTCGTACCATCGACAAAATAATATGCAATATTATGATATCAGTGCTCGATCAATTTCTAATTTTGAAAAACCATTTCCTTGATTATCAAGAAAATTGGCTGAAAATGCTAACCTTGAATTTGTTTGTATGTCTACAATGCTGGTATGTTTTCGTCTTAATTTATAATTTACTTATATAAATATACGTATTTAGCTACTTAATGTACCTATAGATCCCGAGATGATTCAGATATATGAAGAAGAAATAAAACAAGATACACTTTACGCCCTGCTGGATGATGAAGCTAAACATGAATATTTATATGTATAAGAGAACAAGAATTTTCAACAAAATAAAATTTTTTAAAGTTGTTTATATGTCGTTAATCTTCATTTTATAGCAATCGTTCTTTTTAGTGCATAACATTTTCTTCCTTTTTATTTCGAATCTCTGATTGATAAAATTATTGAAAAAGTATTGTGCAAGCCATTATTGTACATGAAAATATTATATGAATAAATTTAGTAACTCAATGAGAGAAATTAAAGAAAGAAAGATAAGACAATGTTGTTCTAATTCTTAATAAATTGAATACATAAAAGAGGATACCTCTTCGTTATTTACTGTTTAGCAGTTGACTATGTTAGCAGTCTTTCTCGATTTTGAATAGAAATTGGTACTATTAGAATAGAAATACATCTCTTCTATATTTCGAATGAATAAATAAACGACTTGAGAAAAACAATTCACGTAAAGTAATAAAAGTGTAACGTATGTTTACATTGCATTGCTATATTATCTATAATTAGATAATATGTGTTCATCAATACATTTGATTTATTCAAACATTTGGATTTATAGGAAATAAATATTCCACTATCACTGCATTATGATCAGATAATTCCATTGCAATTGTATTAAAATTATTGATTCGACCTGTTAAACGTGTTTGATTTCTGACATAAACCCAATCTGGTGTACCACCAAAAATACTTGTTGATCCAATGATTGTCTCATTGTAAGCAGGAACATAATCTGTTTGATCCTGCAAATAACATGACCCACCATAGTAATAATTGATAAATTCATCTTTACTTAATGTGTCTAAATTTTGATAAAATTCGTAATTATTTAATTGTTTCATCATTGCTGCTTCTGAATTTTCATTATTAAAATCACCTATTCAAAATAAATTTATTATGATTATCGATTTTTTTTTTACTTTCTTACCTAAAATAATATCTGGATCATGTATATCAATAAGTCGTTTTAATTGTAAATATTTATGATTTTGTAATTTTTTAAAATTTTTATCATCAAATCGTCCACCAGATAAATGTACATTAGCTATTGTTGTATCAAATAATTGAATAATTGATGAACAACGTGGTGTTTCATCAGTAATTCGAAGATTAACATTTGATAATGCTTGAGTAAAATTAAAATATTTTTTTCGAACGTAAATTGTATTTGATAAATGAACATTTCCAGTTACGTGTTCAGCTTTACAATCATTAGCAAGAAAATATTCTTTATCTAAATTTAATGGTGCTAATGTCATCAAATGCCAATCAGAAAAATAAAAATTTTCTTGAAGACAAACAACATCAGGTTCATGTGCTAATATAAAATCTGCAATAGGTTTTGTTGTTATACTAGTCTTATAAAATTGAATATTGAATATCATAAGTATCAATGGAATAGAGTTTGAAATAACATTATGAAATGAAGTAGTATTTATTTTTTGTTCGAAATTAAGTTTTATCATCAACAATTCGCTTTTGCTTGAACCTAAAGAAAAATAGTTTTATTCATTATTACTTTCAATTGATACTATTTAGACATAGTTGAAAGTAAATGATCTAATCCGAGTAACTACACTCAGGTTTTAAAACAAATTGAAGATAATCTTTTCGAACGATAGTCATTTATTTCTGTTTAATGTATATTATCATCAGCTTTTTGAGTTTTCAGAGCTATAGACTCTTCATTCTCCCAAAAAATTTGCTC